CAGAGTGTAATGAAGATGTGTGTGACTGAGCAGAAAGACTTGCTGTGCACCACATGTCTGTCCTTTCTGTGTCTGTGTAAATGGAATTAACTTAAATAGCAATTTTCTTGTCACATTGACTACCATAGATTATATGATTGGAGTGGGAATTATCAGTTATTGTACATTAACACCAAACAAAGGTTCTCTTGTGATATCATAATAGCATATTGTACTAACATAAAAAATATATTGCTAAAATGAGAAAGTTTTCAGATTATATAGCTCCATTTGTCATTTGCTCAGGAGGCAGCTCTAGGCTCCTGTATGAAATTGCTGTACACTTATAGTGATATTAAAGCAATACTATTTACAACACTTGGATCAGTCGGTTTCTGCAAGATTTGTCCTTCAAGCTGTAATAAAGATGAAGGACCATGGCATAGAAGGGGGCCACGGTATTTACCAGCTTCCTCACCCCACCTAAACACCACTGAGAACTTATGGACCAATCTCAAATTTGACATTTACCGTGGAGTAAGACAGGACTTATCTCTAAACAGCATTTTGGAAGCTGAGGTTTCTGCTTCAGAGAACAGTGACTGTGTAGAGACCAGGATGTGAACAGAGTCTTTGGCTGGAAGGCCCATTGCAGTAGAAAAAAAGAGCAGAGATTATATTGGTCATATTGGATAATTCTGGAACGCCTAAAATATGATAATTCATGATAATTCACAGATATGTGGCATCCACCCTGCCAGTGGCACCAGTTGCTAGGCTTTACTTGGACAGTCACTGTTTGGAGATGACTGCCAAGGGATGAAATAAACCTATCAGAAACCACCTTTTGAAATTAAACAGCTTTCACTCCGTGGCACTGAAAATAGATGTTATTGCACCACATATTGTAAAAGCATTTTCTCTCTTTTTCCCTCTCTCTCTACTGTAGTTTATGTAGAACTTGTTTCATTTTCACATAATATTAACACCAAGCATTTTTTTTTTCTGGAGACATTCACTGCAATATATCCAAAGGGTCATTGAAGCACTAAGCGTTTTCGACAAATGGTGCAAATATATATGTCTTTATAGTTCTAATCAGCACCATTACCGCTGCACTTATGCAATGCCAATTGGACGCAGTGAATCTTTAAACAGACATAATTATTTAAAGGATACTGTAAGAATATTTGAACTCCTTCAAATATCTACTTGAAACTCACATTGCAGCAATTAAACTTATTTCCGAAACCTAATTAAAATAAATAGTGCTAGAAAGGGGTTTTGGAATGTGTAATAGAAAGAAATGCTGCATAGACTTGTGTGAAGGGTTTGTGGAGAAGGGTGTGGGTATGGATATTGTGATAGATCTACAAAGTTCCACTACTTCAGCTCCAGTTTCAACAGATTTTACTCATTTTTTAAGATGACCATATTTTCACTGGTTTGCCTACGAGAATAAAGTAGTTTTGTCAAGCAATTGTCAAGATTCACGCTTAACGGGACTGTGTTTTATTATTGGCAGCATTTCTTTTAAATGTAAGAGAGAAATGATTGACAGAGATACTGTGATGCCACTTTTGGTCGTGGTTATTATGGTAGCCCAGTCAGTAAACACTTTGTCAATGCAGGTTTATTTTGCCCCATATAAACTGCTGCGAGTAGTAGATTAAACCAGAGGAAAGAACAAAGTATAATGAGTCCAGCTCACACCTGTGTTATCAAAAATAGCAAACAGTTATGAAATGCAATTTAACAGAATTAAACATTTTTAATCAAAAATTTTAATCACAATCAACATTATTATAAAATAAAAAATATATATATTCTAGATTTTTGTGATTAAGAAAAACACATGAAAACACTGAATAATTGAACAATAATTAGCTTTTACTTATTCGTCGTATACTACTGATGATTGTTCTTTACTATTAATGCGACTAAATGTTACCTAGGTTCCACCCTGGGCAGAATTACGGTCTACAGTTTGTCTGGCTAGCTAAAGTTGGGACAATGTTTGACACAGTCCACTTCACAGCCTTTCACTTCTAGGTTAAAACAGGTCAGTTTGAGGCAAACTGTGAGCCAACAGGGATGAAAAGTAGCCAATCCAATTCTGGAATTTGTTTCTGCCAAATTCTAGTAAGGAGATTAGTTACTGCCTGAACCAAGGGTGGTAAAGTATTTTAGGGAATAGGGTTTAATATTAACAGATAAATTATTCCTGGTGAAGGCATAATATATCTAGTTTATTTAGGGGGAGAGAAGAGGCAAAATGCAAAATGCTTTATGTTAATAACATAACTGGAAGTCAAAATAAATGTGTAATGACTTGCAGTATCACAGCAACCTTGTGTACTTAGATACTGTTAACATGTCCAATTTAGGAAATGTCAAAACTGTAATGATGTGTGGATGAGAATGAGAGGATGAGGATCAAAAAGCAAGTGGAATCCAAAGGAGTATTATTAAATAAATCTTAATAAATGAAATTCAGGAAAGCATTTACCAAACCTGGGATGAGTACACAGAAACCCAAGTGCCAGAGATAATGGGTAACATGGAGGACACAAAATAGAAAGGTGGAGTAAACACAAACAGGGGACATGGAAAATCACATTTAAGGACACAAAACTAAGTACATGGAATAAATAACAACCCTAACTAAAATGACTGTAAACAGGTTGACAGTAGAACAAAAACAAGACTAATCTAATAAACAGTAACAGAGAACATATAAGAAGTCAAAACTTTAAACCCAAAACAACAAGATCTTGACAAAAACAAACCTGAAGCAGTGACATACTGATAACAATGTGTTCCATGTAGGAAAGAACCACCTTAGGACCCACCAGGAATGTCTGAGAAAGCAAAATAAATGTCAACAACGTCTCTCCATATTTTCTTTTAAATTGAAAAAATATAAACATAAAAAAATAATTTGATGCATAACAAAAATATTTTATATTCTTAAAGGACATATTTTTACTTATGGAATTAACAAACATGACTATATCACTTTGAAAAACAATTTGAAAAAGTGAAATATAGGTGCAAATTGCTAAAAGTCTCATTTTACTGTGTGATAGATATTTGAAATAAAAAGAGACATCATTAACACCCTACAAACACCTTTCTGCAACACTTCACTTACATCCTGCTGTATTCAGCTTCATGACGTCAAGGCACTGTTAGAAAAGTTAACACTTGCATTGCTTCCAGTAGTTAATGAAACACAATGTGAAGCAAGTGAAAGTTCTCCCAACTCGCAATCAAGATAACTCAGGGTTCAGATGTACCTCAGTATGAATGTGAAATCATGTTATCACTGTTGGTAGCAGGATTTGGACCCTCGGCGCACAAGAACAAATACAATTTCAAGAAGAAGAAAAAATAACATATCGCTAAAATAAGACCCTTTTGTCATTAAAACACAGTATGTTTTTCTCTGGCCACTGCTTTTTTTTTTTTTTTTTTTGAGTTGATTAGGTAAGAAAGTCTGCTCTTGATAGGCTAGCTTATGAAACCAGCAAGCATGCACACATCTTTTAATATGTCTTTTATGTCTTAGAATGTTATGAACTGTTGCTCCCAGAAGATCTGCTGTAAAGGGTTCCAGCAGTGAAATCAAAATGAGACTGGATTTACAGGAGCAGAAGGTCATGGGCAAACATTGAACAGCTGTTCTCCCAACACAGGCTTTAGCCATTTTTCCAGGATCAGTGCAGGGCAGCAGCTGATCACATCAAAGGCCTCTACTGTGTGAAGTGAAGAACAGTGGAAAGGATGTTATTATTCCCACAGCAGTCAGCCCACTGCTTGTGGAGAAAACTACTGGTGAAGCAAAATCTTCGGTTGGTAAAGTTTCTTAGATGGATTAACCAACATAAGCAACATAAAAATAATAATAATAATAATAAATTACAGCAAGCTAATCTTACTGTCAATCCATTCATATTGTCTTCTACTTATAACGGAAACTTCCAGTCCATTCTGGGTCTGTAGTAAGAACTATTCCAAGTGGGACATAATTGGAGGGGAGGTTTTCAGGAGACATCCAAATCAGATGCCCAAACCACTTTAATGAACATTTTCAATACTGAGAAACAGTGACATCACTCACCTGCCACTCCTCCCTCGTTCAAGGATCAGCCAAAGCCTCTTTCCCAACAACCTGAAGGCAGAAACATGACTGTTTTATGAATGAATATCACTTTGTGGAAAACAAATAAAAACTATCCATTTCTAAATTATGAATAGATTTTAATAATATAGATCAGAAATAGAGAAAGTAGCCACAAATGACAATCTAAAGCAATAAAAATGGAGGACATGAAGTTTGTTTGTGTTCCTTTGTTCAATATAGTTTGTGTGTATAAAGATAAATCTAAAGAACTGCACTTGCTTGTAGAGGGAAAATATACTATTTCCTTCTACAAGGAAATACTATATTTTCCTAGTATATTTTTCTTGCTTCTACAAGGAAAATATAATATTTTCCTTGTAGAAGGAAAATAGTATATTATAAAGCCAAGCTTTATAATATACTATTTTCAATCTTCACAAAGCAAAATAAGATTTAAGTGTTTTTTCTTGTAATAATGTCTTGTTTTTACTGAGTGTTTTTTTTTTTTTTTTTTTTTTTTTTTTTTTTATCTCAGGTATGCAGAGTTAGCACCATTGGAGTTCAACACCAAATACATTTCACATCATAATAGAGAAAATAGTGATTTTTGAGCAGATTAGTGTTGCTTGACTGGTGTGAAAAAAACTCCTAAGGAAGAAGAACTAAACTTGTGATCATCAGAACTATTTAAAACGTGACAACTCCAGAGGGTGAACAACCAACGAGGAGTTGCTGAGAGATTTCAACAGATGTTAGGTGTCATGTTGTTAATATGGTTGTGTACGCAGAACCCTTTTTGCTGCATATTTAATTAATTCACGGTAAGCTTGCTGTTTATATATTTCTCCATGTGTAACCGTCTCTGTCTCTTTGCTCCTGTTTTTTGGTTCTACAGATCCCTCAAGTGAGTTATGCTTCTACAGCCCCGGAACTGAGTGATAACACACGCTATGACTTCTTCTCCCGTGTGGTGCCCCCAGACACTTACCAGGCTCAGGCTATGGTTGACATCGTCAAAGCCATGCGCTGGAATTATGTCTCCACTGTAGCTTCAGAGGGAAACTATGGAGAAAGTGGTGTTGACGCATTTATTCAAAAATCCAGAGAGGATGGTAAGTCTCCAGGCTGATGAGAGCTACACTAATCATTTTAATGTTTGATATGTTTTTTAAATCCCATCTACATAGCTTCTATGCAAGTTAACTTAATCTTTTATATATTCAATAGAAGCTGACTATTTATTACTATTATTAATGTAAATAGACAAAGCTCAAAATTCAATGAGCTTACTAAAACATAACAAATTGATATCTCAAGCAGTTCTTTGATCCAAACTGCTTAATACTATTATGGTTGACTGCTTTTTGTTTCATATTGCTATTTTAACTACATAATGTTTTAACTACTTCATTGACAGCATAACAAATAAACAACAAAAAAACAACATTTTTTTTATTGTACTTGTCCAGGTCATTTCAGTAGACTTCTAGCAGTTTGTCAGAGGTTACATTACAGTGAATGAACATTTGTCAAGGTAGAGGTGAAATGTCTCCATCGTGGGTTTAAACTGGTCTTTCATTTAAAAATGTTAAACTAAAGACCTTGTCATAATTAAAAAAAAAATATTTGCAATGACATTTAAAAACTATTAAATGTTTTACCATTACCATTTTTTTCACTTAACAGTATATTTAAAAAGCCACGGGCTATACCAATGTCATTATACATTGCATATTTTTGTCACATTTTTTACTTTTTTCCATATGACTGTCAGCAACTGTATACCTGCTGTAGACAGGGTTAAGGCACGACCATATAATTTTAAGATTGAATTAAATTATTGTATGGGAAGGTCTCCCTTGGTGATCGCAAAATACAAATTAAACTTAATTTAAAACATTTGCACACAGGTGATGCTCCATTTCCTTCCCACACATTGTAGCTCTATTCAATTAAAACCTATGCATTGTGCATTTGTAGAGTCTGCAGTAGATGGAATGAGGGACATGAACTGGATTTCCAAACCTAGAGAAAAAGCCACAGGCTGAAAGGGAAAGAAAGTTTGCTTGTGGCATCAAAACGATGCAGAATAGATGGGAATACATTCAGTTTGGTGCAAGCAGGCAGCCAACCCACACTTGCTCTGACCCCAGACCCTTGCTGTAGCTGAGAGTAATTAGTAATGACACGTCCAGTACTCATTGTGCCACTAAAACTCCTGATGCCTGGCAGCCTGAAGCTGCTGTCCATCATCATTATCTTGGAGAGACATAACATTACTCCTGAAGAGTCCTTAAATGCAATCAGCACATTTACCTGTTGGCCAACCCTCACAGACAAACATAACACAGAACATCATAGGACAGCTTCAAGGATACTCTTTTCATTTAAGAAAATGTTAATGAACCATCCCCATATTTACTGATTCTACTAATTATAATAATAGCTTTTACATTCAGTATCTTTTTACCTTCAAATCTTATTAACTAGGGGGAATAATTGACTGCCTATCAGGCATTTCATGAAAGAATTCTAAAAATGTCAATATAAGCTGCTTGTTGATGATAAAAACATTTTTTATTAAACTTAACATTAGTTTTTTTTACAATCTCTCTGCAATAAATTCCCCCCCCCCCCCACCCCTCCCCCACACACACACACACTGCTGAACTCTTACTTATTTATTTTTGCTTTGGGATAAATTCATGTTTTCTGCAACTACTTTTTTCCTTTTGGTAAAATATCTGAATTAAACAACAGTGAACACAGATATGATTTTTCTCCAAGCTTTCACTGCCTACCTGCTTTAGGACCTGACGACCTCAACATTTTGTCTGAAATCAAAAGTGTATATATTTTACATTGTTTCAGATTATTTGTGTTACTCCGACAGGCCTTTTTACTATATTGTGAAAAAACATAGAGTATGTATTGCAGATGTACTCTATTAGAACATATAGTTATTGTTCTGAAAGTATTACCACAGTTTAGTTAAAGTAGAGACAAAATTAACATTTTATTTCAGAGATTTCATTTGATAGGCCACCATGAGGGAGAAACATGAAGAGCATTTTTCAACAAGTTGTTTGCCTAGATAGTCCGGCATTTTGCTCTGCGTTTGCATGTGAAATACATGATTTCCACAATATAATGCTACCACAAACTTTAACGATGAGAACGGCGTTATCGGGGATGAGTGCAGTGTGAGTTTCCATTATTCAATGTTTTACATGAATGAAACTTTGAATGATGTTTCATTCAATGCTCTGTAAACTTCAGTTTTCAGAGCACCTTCAAATAAATTTAAGGGAGACATTTTGGGCTACTTGGGCTTTAATATCATGACCTAAAAACATTATTTTGTGCTAATGCAGGCAAAAGAAGTTATCATGGGAACAGACACAGATCTGATATTGGCAATGTGGAAGTACCGTAGTATGCCTCTGGGTCCTGTTTGACTAGTGCTTCATCTTTTACATGTAAATCAGACAAGCTTCTCCACAGCCAAGTGTGATGTACCAAATGTTAGGAAAACGGAGGAGGGAATTGTCAAGATAAATATGAACTGCAGACACAAAGTGTTTCTAGTTTAGAATCTTCAAATATACAAGGAAAAATATCTGTCATTGGTGACATTTAATGTGGATTCTGATAGCCATTTTTGCTCCAGCATTTTGTCAAGAATCTGAGAAAGAGAGCTTAGTCAGCTGTCCTTTGATTAAACCACATAAATAACCGTTTAAAAAATGGAATAAAAGACAGCATGTTTTAGACTGACAACCACACATAGAAAATCATTGTTTTGGAGAAAACAATGAAGCTTTCACATCCTCTCAGTTTAAGGAAGAACATGTAGTTATGTGTCAAACCAGCCTGTCCCCAACTCTTCTTAATTTGACAACTAGAGAAAAAAAAAGAATAAAAAAAGTAAATTCTTTAAATTTTGCACTGGCTTTGATTGATAATCTGACAGGCACTTGGGGGAAACATGCGGCTTTGTCATAATCAAAACCCGAGGTATTTGGCTGCTAAATGGGTTTTTCAGTTGTCTGCTCTCATAATGAAACAGCCAGTTCAGAAGTGGCCAAATGTTCCATCTCATTAGGCAGCCAAAGGCCATACTGAGCTGCAGTCTCGCCCACCGAATGTTACAGCCGCTGCATGCATTGCTGCTTTATGTGAGGAAAAGAGCAGGTTTTAGTCAGGCTTAAACTGCCAACTTGGGATGTTGATTTGATTAACACTGCATCTGTGTGTGTAGCCACAAGATATTTACAAAATCCTTTCAACCCCAGTGAACACAGAGATTTCTGAACAACCAGAGGATTGATGCCACCGTCTTGCCCCTCCACAAAAAGCTGTGTCACTTGTTACAAATGAAAAAAATATCAATTTGCAGATCTACAATTACTGGATGAAGACTTGCAAAATAATTGAAAAAAAGCTCTCTGTTATTGGACGAAATTGTTTAAAATATCTGGAAAAATTCCATCCTTTGGATTGAATACATTACATGAATGTATTCAATCTTATCTTCTGTGTGAAATCCTTGACTCCATAAAAATAAGGTTATTTCAATGGTTCCTGCTCATAATTATTAAGAATGCCAGTAAGTGTCAAAAATGCTGTTGGAAACCTTTTCTTATGAGTTTGTACTGCCATGTAGCAATTTATACATGTAGCAGAGAACCCTGAAAGAGCAGAATCAGCTCCAGATTAGCGTCAAAAACTCTTAATTGGAACAAGCTACTTCACAAAATTCTCTTCCTACCGCCAGCCGAGGCAATTTAGTAAAGCTGGTTTGATTTACAAACACAGGCACACTTTCAGGAATGTTAGTAATCTCTATGAAAGTAAGCTGAAAGCAGCTGGTGTTGAGCTCAGGTTATCATTTTCTTGGCATTTGAATCAAAGTGCTTGTACAGGTTACAGCATAAGGACTCATTGACAAGACAATCTGGCATCTTACATTTATATTAGTAAACTATACATTTGCTCAGACTGCCTATTGGTGGTGTGACTGTTAAGTATTTTATGAAGTAGTCAATATCATTGAGGATGTTGCAAATAACCTCCTCTGGAGTCAAAGGGAAGGAAGAGCAATTAAGACAACTCGGGGGGGCTGATGTAAAATGTTTCCTTAAATAGAACTGCTTTGACAGCTGTGACTGACAAGTTTGTCACTTTGAAATGTTAAAAATAGAAAGACCACTCAGTCATCTGATTATTCAAAATGGTTTTGACAAAAGGTCAACTGCTGTACTTGACTAGATGTGAGCGCTACTTGAAATTAAGAATATTGAGATCATGTTGACAATATACTTTGAAACAGTGCAATTGAAGCTAGATGTCTATGCTGTATTAAAAGACATAACCTTTTTCTAATTGTATGTTATGAAATGAGACTAAACATTTTGAGTTTTAGATGATTCGTGATAACCAAACATGTTTTATTAATAATAAGAGAGAAAAGGAATTAATTCAGGAGTTAAAATATGGTGAAATTATGATGCCTTCATATATTTATGGAAAGCAAAGCCATAGTGAATGTTATGGCTTTGTAAGCTTCTGGTAGGTTAATTTACAACATTTGTGTTCAAAATGTAGGATCTTAAATAGCATGCAAAATCCACTTTTTTTACCCTCATCTTTCTTGGAGTTTCTAGCAGTGCAGTAGAGTTTAATTTATTCTGTCCTGGTGCCTGGTCTTTATATTCTGTTTGAGTCATACGGGACAATGGCAATGGTCAAGACTGGTGGTAGGAATTTGTCCCTTAATGTAAGGATTGCTGGTTTTAGCCCCTGGTCTATGTCCATGTCTCTGTCTGTATATTCTTAAAGAAGACACTTCAACCTTTTTGCTGGTGGTTAAAGAGCCCGATTGTGTTAAGGCATGGCAGCTTTGCTTCCGTTAGACCGCTCTAGGGCACCACTACAATGCAGTAGCCTGCAATTATCATTGTGTGAAAGTGCATGAATGGGTGCATGACCGATTGTAGTTTGAAGCACTTTGGAGTCCTCTGTTCTTGATAAAGTGTTAAACAAGTACAGGCCATTTATCATATGTTTCAATCTACTCAATTTCCTCTATTCCTTATTACATTTTCTGAAC